TGCGTTATCAGATAGTTGGAATATGCCAACGATAGTCTTTCAGACGGCTGGAATATGCTGACGATACTTTCTCAGATGGCTGGAATATGCTGACGATACTCTCTCAGATGGCTGGAATATGCCTCGGCTACTCTCTCAAATGGCTGAAATATGCCTCGACGGACATCTTGTCCATATACACAATGAACACAACTCCTTTGTCTCGAACTTGCCGGAAGAAGAAGGTCGAAAAGAGGGAGGCAATATGGCGTATCGGTAACCGAAACGCCACCACGCCGCGCTCGCAGCGCCTTCCAGGCGCCGATCGTAAATTCCCTATACACGCTCTAGAGCTTTCGCTAGCTCGAGCGCGGGAGCTCTGATTTAAGACTGCGAACTCGTAATATTACATTATAATAGGATTTATTTAATATTTTTCAGTTTGGTTGGGATTTTAATTTTTTTGATTTTGGATCATCAGAATCATGATTAATTTTAATCTCAGCGCCATGTAGCAGACCGTAATTATTGTGTCAGTTGACACAAATCGGACGAATATGCTGTATTGTTTTATGTCGTCGTGTTGTTTCCTGTAGTGAATTGGAACAAAATGATATGTTCCATTGTTGATGAGAAAACCTCTTCTCTTTCCGTCGTCAATATAACTTTGAGAAAAATGTACAGAAATTTTGAAAGTTATAGCAATAAGATTAATTTGAATTTCTCTATGTTACATAATGCTTTTTAAATGTGTAAGCTCATAGATTATGAGTGCATAATGCTCATAATGCTTCATTTATCCTTGTTTACATTCGATAAAACAAGGAACATTATGCATAAAACGAAATGCCCCAATAATTTACAGAGAGACATGTTCGATCAACGAGATGTTCTGCGGGCATAGTAAACGAAAAATTTATTTAATTAACGAGTAGTTTTGATATATTAACAATGTACAATTATCAATGCAGTTCAAAATACAATAAAAAAAATATTATTACATAATAGCATAATTAAAAAATTAATAATGCGCGATTAAGTATACGTGTTCAGAATTAGAGCGTTAATTCGTGCGGTCGTCGAGATCGCTCGAGAAACTTCTTCGCTTCGAATCTTTGTTGATTCGACTTTCGAGCAATGTCGACGTCGAGAGCGAGTGTTTGTGTGCCGATGACGACGAGAGTCTTTCGACACAGAAAAAAGGCCCTCGTCGTACTTGGTGTGTTACCCCTTGATTCGTCGCTCGTTGCTGGGCCGATGTTATCGGCGAATCGCGTTATCGCTTCCAAAATCAAAGCCGCGAGCCGTTCGAGGTCGCGCGACACAAAGTCAGTACGAATCTGGAGAGCGCCGGGTCGAGAG